AAAAAAAAAGGAAATAAAACGACTTCATCTGCTGCAATAATCTAATGTCTTTTAATTACTTTGGAGTTTTTTTGAGCAAATAATGATGTATGCAGTTATGCAACTTGATTAATTAATAAGCATATTTGGTTAATAAAATGCATTCCAAATACAAATGTAATACGATTTGCATAGGATTACTTAAAAAAGTGGAAAGGTGCAGAAATTTGTTTATAATGGCGGCAAAAAAGCTGTTATCGTAGCTCCGACTGAGCCTCCGGGGCTAAAGCCCCTATTTTATTTGTCTCACGTCCCCAATAACACATAAAAGCCCTGGGTGGAGTAGCGCTGCTTTAACAAGAGCCCCAAGAGTCTGTGAAGCTCTTAGACGACAAGCATACTGATCCTGCCAGTAATGGGCCTACAACTCCCTTGTTTGGCATGTTAATGAATCTGATCTGCAGTCAACAGCCAAAACAAAAAGAGATTTTTATGCCAGGTGCTTAAAGGGTACAACTTTTATCTCTAAATGATAAGAATATTTGGTAAGGTGTTTGTCTACGTTGCCAATGAAGAACATTATTAGTCTACTATTCTTAAGCAACAGTCTTGATGTATTCAAGTTTTATAGCAGAATTGCAGCAGAAGCACACAAGTTTGCACATCTGGTTACTGTTTGAATATCTGAAACATAGCAATTGAAGCATATTAGGCATTCATAAACCCCGAAACTGAACTGAATGTAAGTGTTATTGAGTTAAATATTTTAATTATCAAATAAACCTTACATCACCAGAAAAAGAAATACAATAACTAAACAGCGACTGAAAAATAACCGGGCTGATTGGAGTTTTTTTGAAGACTGCTGTGATGTACAGTATGGGTGGTACACAGAACTCTCCTCTCTTTCACATTCCTTCCATCCGGAGAAGATGAATTAGGAAGAAAACAAGAGAAGAACATCAAGCCCCCCGACCAAGATGAAAGCTCTCCCACTTAAGAGAATATTAGGAGAGTAAACTACTTTAGCAGCAGGAGGTGAAATATCAAATTAGCCTCATTTAACATCAAACAGAATAAGTGAAAGTAAATGGCTACTTTTTTGTTTACAAGATACAGTGTATCACCTGCAAAAATAAATTCCACACTTGTATACATCATCATTTAATTATTATGTAATTTATAATATAATATAGGATACCTATTGGCCAAAATATATCTTTATACATCCTTCTCAGAAGAACCAAACTAAATATCAAAATGCCGCAAACCTCTAACTTTAAGGACAGAGGATGAGAGATCAATACAACACAGTGGCCGCTGGACAAAATCTCCAGATTTATGATATCTATGGCAGCCAATTGAATACAGTCCATCTGCAGTTCTCACAATGAGCCACATTTTATAGCATCTGCCAGCTGTAGCTCATACATATGCTCTTTTTGTCCCTTACAGGCACCCGCCGTAATTAGGCCGACCAATCACTTTGCTTCATAACAAGGGCAGTACTGCCATAGAGACAAGAATCAACTTCTCTTGGCACTCTCGGGGAATAGAAGGCAAAGCAGTGATAACATTTTAGGGTCTGGGCAGATTTATAATGTTACCCTCCCCTACCATTCAGGTTTGATCATGGGGATTAGAGATAGTACACGCTGTGTGATAAGAAACAAAAGACTTAATGTTTACAATGGCAAATGAAATTCACCACCCCAGGCAATAAAGTCAACCCACAACAGAGTAAGGTGATGTACACCTTCACCTTGGCCGTAGATTAGTTGGCTGCTTATTACGGCTCATCTGTACTAATAAGCAGCAATAAACAGGGAGGTTTTCTGGTTATAAATTATTCCAGTCAGTTGCACTGCCACTGTCCCACTGATAAGCTTTATATCTTCTGACTTTTGTTTGCCTCTGTCTCTCTCTCTGTGAATGAGGTGATGTAATTTCCAACATCAATGAAAACCAGACAGCTTACAGCAGTCTCTGGCACAGAAAGAATACACAACAAATAGCTTAAATGATAAAACTGTCATTCTGACTGTGAATCACCAAATCACTTGAGATAAACAGCCAGAATGGTCCAAACAACCAATTAGAACTGAAATTCCAAACACTGACACCTCTGTCTTCCATGGTTTCCTGGGAAAACCCTCCAAAGTTTAACATATTGTGGAATGGCACTCATGTATTCTGAACTTAAAGGCCATCTTGTTTATTATAGAACACACAGAGAGCTCAGATGTTTTTCTATCTCTTCTTTCACAGATTGTACGTCTACAAAAGGGGGAAAATTCACACAGTCTGACTGGACCAGATCAACCCATAACTGCAACACATGTTTTAACTTCAAGGTAATTGATAGCAAGAACGTGAAACTCACTTTGTCAAGCTTATAATACTAAGGGTTTCAGCAAAAAGCCTGATGACTTTGAGAGTTATTGATACAATATATGATCCCAAACTAAACCGGAACATACTGCCATTCCGAAAACCTGATGTTTGCCACAATAACTGAAGATTTTTCTCTTGAGACAGACAAACGGATGGATGGATGGGTAGGGATAGATAGATAGATAGATGGATAGATGGATAGATGGATAGATGGATGGATAGATGGATAGATGGATAGATGGATAGATAGATAGATAGATAGATAGATAGATAGATAGATAGATAGATAGATAGATAGATAGATAGATAGATAGATAGATAGATAGATAGATAGATAGATCTGACAATGCAAAAAATTTCACAAGTACACTGTCTGAGAAAGTTTATGCCAAGCACACACTGCCTAAGCCCAGAAAGCAGCAGGGCACAAGGCATTTACCCACACTTACTGTTACTCTTTCTTTCTCATCAGCTCTTGACCAAAAAAATGTAAAATGCCTCCCGAAGGAAAATAAACATGATTCGGCCCAGTGAAGACATCTGTCCTTCGAAAAGAATATAAAAGATCTAACTGTTTAAACAGCTGTGAGGATACTCTGTCCTTTTGAACATTTTTGAGAGACAAGCACTGAAATAACATAGAGCTTGGAGTCATGGCTCAAGGGTCAGATATCAGACAAATGACAAATCTCTTTCTAATGACACAACAGCATGTGTGTGAGGTTGTGTACAGGTTATCAGGCCACGTGAATCTCTGATTTACAGTTCGCGAACCTAAATTATTTCTCAAGCATAACACTCATCCGTAATAATTATGTTAGAAATAATGTGTTTTAAAACAAATATATTCTTTTTAAAATCTTACTGAAAAAATGAAATAAAAATTATATATAATAAATAATTATATATATATAATATAATATAATATAATATTTCTACATTTTTCTGAAAGGAAAATGTGGCCAATAGGTGACTGCGTGTGTACACATACACAACCAAGTCTAATTTAGTGTACTGAGGTGTATGGATATGCATCCTATCCTCTGTCACACGCATGTCGGTAACCCACTTCTAGATGATGCAAAAACTTTTCTAAAAGAACCTTGATGTGGTGCTCTTTTTCCAAACAATATCTCTTCTACCTGTCAAAGTCAGTCATTATTTTTCCTATTGACATTCATTTCTGATAGTGCCTCATCAGCCACCTCTGTCGTGCCTTTAATGTTGCAGGTTCCACCCCTCCGCCCCCATGAGGAGTTCTGATGTCCTACGAATTTAAGCTTGAGCGTCTTTTTTCCCCCGTCCCGCCGCGCCACACGAACGTGGGGTCCTTCGCCTCGGCGGCCAATTACAGAGCAAGGTAATGAGCAGCCACGTTCTCCTTACAGCCCAGATTGACACTCTCTCCCACTCATTTGTCAACAAATCAGGATGGATGGCGTGGGGGCGATATTGAGCTGGAGGTGTCGTACTCAGAGACGCGCTTGCCGAGCAGCATCTCCTGCTCGTTATCATTGACAAGTTGTCTCGAGCTGAGAGATTTCCGAATCCTTCGCCTTTGTCATCTCAAGATCATTTGCTCGCGATTCGGTACTTATTCCATGCATAGCCTAACGGTTATAGCCTACTAGGTTAGACTAGACCTACTTTTGGCATTTGTCTGTGGACTGCATGGGACTTATATAACAAAACCAGAAGCTGTAAGTTTCACTTAGATACAAACAAAACTTAGTTTATGAAAGTCTTGCTTGCATGAAATTGTTGTAGATCTTTGTGTCCTCTCAGGCTGATCTGTATTAGCCTGTTATATATATTGTTTAGACCTTCCTATAGCACCAATAATATATATATTAATTTTTTTTTTTTTTTTTAAGTACACGGCAAAGATGTAGAACAGTGGGCTGTGCACATGCTCAGGACATACTGTATAAGGGCTCTTGGCTGCTGTCCCAATCCCATTCTCCCCTTTACTTTTCTTATCTGCACTCCTCTTATACTGTCCTTTAAGAATAAAAGCAAAAAGACCCCCAAATGTATTCAAATAAAGAATGTTTTATTTTATATAATATATTTAATAATTATGTATCATTGCATGTATTATAATATAATAATATACATGATATATATATATATATATATATATATATATATATGATACTATTTATTACATAATTAATAAATATATATTAATATTACATTTTTGGCAACATTAATAATAATAAAGTTGCTCCCTTTTTGTGGGGGAGGGGTCATGGGAGTTGCATATACTCTATATATGAAGAGTTCAGATGCAAAAGCCTCTAAGTGCCATTTGAAATTTTCTTCTAGAATGACAATTTTTATCAAGCTTGTATATTTAAGTTCAGTAATTTCACTTAAATTACAATTAATAGGTAATTAACTTCATTGCAATTTAAGTGAAATTACTGAACTTAAATATACAATCTTGATAAAAATTATCATTCTAGAAGAAAATTTCAAATGGCACTTAGAGGCTTTTGCATCTGAACTCTTCATATACTGTATATATATATATATATATATATATATAAGTATACATGCACTGTGCTGCAAAATAGCCATCTGTTCACATTTGAATCACAGACACTGTGATGTGAGATACTTACTTGGTTCTTTGTGCTCCTCTGGGCCAGACGAACCGTCTGCCAACAGCACAGACAAGCCAAAGAGCTTCTTCCCAGCATCCTCAGATACCTTCAGGGCATTTGGAGAACCAGTGGGAACATGAGCACAAAAGTCAAAATCTTTTCCCTCCACATCTGTGTAGCGGAGGTGGGGTGATGCCTCTGGATCCATACAGCCCTTCAAGCGCTTGGCAGGGAGGAAGGCAGACTGGTATACCCCTGCATCACGCTCCTCAGGTGGGGAGGAGAACGGTCGGAAGGCCCCCACCGCTCCATGGTTGAGCATACCCAGTGGGGAGCAGTCAAGATTGGGTGGGGCAAACTGTGGGTGAAGGTGAAGCAGAGGGGTGGGAAAGTCTCGAGTGGGAAAGCCTCCTTGCCGGTGGTACATGGAGGCGAAGGTGTATGAGCCGCTGGGGAACGGGAGGTGCATGTCCTTTTCCAAAGTGACTGGAACTCCAAACGGCCGATGGGGCTGGCAGGGTACAGAGGCATCTCGTCCAGCCTCGGCTGTTGATGCCAGGACCATGAGGGCAGGGGAGGTCAGAGGATTGGGCATGTAGGAGGAGCTCTCTATCTTAAAGGCAGTCCGATGGAGGTCCATTTGAGCAGTGTAGCGTCTACCAAAACTCAGTGTAATGTGATGAAGAGGCCTGAAGGGCACTGGACACAATGCGTATATACTTAAGCCTTACAGACCAGTCATTCTCTGACAGAAAGCTGTTGGGGAAAAAAAGTCGTATTATGAGGCTGAAAACAACTTCAGGTGGTCGAAAGAAAAGCTGTTATTTAATAAACAGGCAAAAGGCAGAAATGTAAAACTTCCTTAAAGTCTATATATGTCAGAGGATTTTTCTTTCTTTCGTTTTAAAGACGTGTCACATGACTGAGACAGTAATACTAAGTTGCTAGAATAATTAGACTAAGATTGAGTCCTTAAAGAAATGCCTATAGGGTATAGGTCAGAGGCATATTATTGTGTGAACTTAAACAATGAGTTGTCATTAACAAAAGCACCCTTTACTATTGCCTTAATGTTGAAAGGTAAACAAAGATTGAGCTAAATAATGCAAAATAAATTATCTTAAAATTAATTTTCATGCTGAAAAATCACTACATATAAAATGTTTAGTGTATTAGAACTGCCATTCTGCGTTATGAACACAACAATTTAAAAATGAAAAAAAAAAAAAAGTCACATAGCCAGTGTTTTTATTCGTAAACTTCCGATTTTACTCATTATTTATTTGTCCATTCCATTTTATAGATTAATCATGATTAGTGAACTTTTCGGATTGCTGAATTTAAATGAATAAAAAAATAACTTGAACTTATTAGTAATATAACAGTCCTTTAAAAACCGAATAGCCTATTCTTTTAAAGACCGATAAGTTACTTATACGATCGGTGATTTGGAAATGCGTATTAAAAGATAACACCACGTAATAATAATGATAATAATAATAATAAAACAAATAGAAAATAATAATAAAAACGTATGAATGTTGAGAGATAAAGTTTATTCAAATGGGAATTAATTAAAAAGATGGACAACTGTTTTTATAATAGAAATACAACTAATAAAAAACATTTTTTATAACAGTTCGCATAAGCTGTGAGTAATTTTCTTCAAGACAGTGAGATTTTAAATATTGCTTTTAAGACGTGATATTGAGTCGGGAATCTGCTTTTAATTCAATTCGATCTAAAGAAAAATAGGCATATTTCCTTTCGGTTTCGGACAGATTATAGCCTATGTAAAAAAGTTTAAATGCAATTTTCTATTTTAAGGCTCTAACTTGTTCAGGTCACAGGTGTTGTTAAGTTCAAATAAAGATGTAATTTATGCTGCTGAATGAGATATCTCTTGGGAAAAACGTACTCAAAAGTAAAACTTTTCTTGAACACAACCTTATAAATTTGATGCATCTTACAATTAGGCTGAAGTTTCAGTGCAGTCTGGTATAATAAAGTTAACGCTTAGCATGCAACAACAAACTGTAATTGATCCTTATAAAACTCAAAATCTGTAATAACACAACAGAAACACTTGCAAAAACATAATGTCCCTAAAATATCACTTTTATATAACAAAGAAAGACTCATTATAATACTCACATTGTGGTCAAACATCTCCTATAGTCAACTGTTGTTTTATCCACGCTCCAGTTCAGATGATGTCAGTCAGGAGAGTTTGCAGATGACTGAAAGAAAAAAGCGCGAAAAGACCGTTATAAGTTTTTAAGACGATTTTGAGAACAATCGCGGAGGTTTAAAGAGTTGAGCTGTGTTGCGCGTGCGACCGCTGCTGTGATATAGATTATGTAGATGCGCGTTATGTGTCAACATCCGATCCGCGCGCGCTTCTGTTAATGTGCATGAGCCCCTCACTGTACCGCCACGCGCTCGCTCGCTCTCTCGCTCTCTCTCTCTCTCTACTCAGCCCGTCCCGCTCTGTTAACTTTAAATTTATCATCTTCCACCTCCCTGTCCGACTTGGGTATTTTGTCAAATGTAGATCTCCATTCTGCGCCTCAACAGTGAATGATGTCAGTTCATCTGAGACATAAATTTAAACACCAAAAATGCAATGCCTCAACATAGGCAACATTTTATTCTATCTGTATTAGTACGTACGGAGGCCTACTCGATACGCTACCACGGGTGTCCATCTGCTGGTTAAACATCATACCGCACTTTAGTGTTTGGGCCATTCAAATCCCTTAATCTGGCATCCTTCACACAAAGTAAAGAGTAAGCATAACTGTGGCAAAAATATAAAGCTGTGACAAAACGTGGCATATTAACTGGCTGCAATTATGTTATTTTAAGGGATGCCAGAAGAACAAATGACCCAAAGCCACCCAGACTGGTCAGAGTCTGATCTGACTTGATGCCCACAAGAATCATGCATGCAGTGTGAATAAGACACACAAACAGCAAGCCAAATCAATATATATATATATATATATATATATAAAAATCCTTGTATCAATAAATTAAACATTCCGGTATCACTTTTGTTTTGGATAACATTGTCATTTAATTTGCATTATAAATATAGATTTTAAAATACTTTATTATTATACAGAATTATACATAATTTAGTTAATATAAATATGTAAAAAAAAAAAAAAACTGAAAAACTGTTTCTATAGAGAGGGAACATAAAATAAAGTTACTGTCTCATAAACAACTAAGGTATTAGCTTGAGTAAATTAAATCACAGTTTAATAGAGGTTCCAGACTCGCTAATTATGACTTCCAAGATCATTAACAAAGTCTTTTAAGTCTCTTGCTTCATAATCCGAGTCCTTAAATGAAAATAAACGAATAATTCAGAATGCTAGAAGGCACGTTTTTGAATATTGAGTCGAACTCTTTCTTTTTGAAATTCATTTATTCAGTGCTGAATCAAATTAGTTCAGTTAATTCTGCAAAGCCATGAACCTAATTGGAGTTTAATTGCTGTTTTTAAGTTTTTGGGACAAGCGAGAGAGCAGTGTGGGTAAAGATGCATCATGTCATGCATTGACAAAAATATTTATATCACTATTCAATTTTGGAGGAGTTACATTTAAAATGTTATTTCTTTTGTCATATGCATGTGTTTGTGTGTGAGTGTGAGTGCTTGTTTGCTTTGAGGACACAAATTTGTATAATGACATGGGTATTACACTGGAATTACAATATAAACATGGGTTATGAGAAAATTTCCTGCGAGTCCTCAATTTAAAAAAAAAACAATGTTTTCTGTGATGGGTATAGGTTCAGGGGTAGGGTTAGTGTAGGGGGGATAGCGTTTGTACAGTATGAAAACCGATACACCTTATATGGAATGTCCCCAACGTGTGTGTATATATTTGTATGTATGTATGTATATATATATATATATATATATATATATATATATAGATAGATATAGATATAAAACATGACATGTCCATCCACTCATTATATATATATATATATATATATATATATATATATATAGATATAGATACTGTATAAAACATGACATATCCATTCACTCATTATATATATATATATATATATATATATATATATATAATGAGCAAATAGGAGAAAGAAAGAAAGAAAGAAAGAAAGCAAGAAAGAAAGAAAGAAAGAAAGAAAGAAAGAAAGAAAGAAAGAAAGAAAGAAAGAAAGAAAGAAAGAAAGACTCAGAATGGAGAAATGTAGTGAGTGTCAAAGTGATGAGCTGTCTGCACTGCCTCACCATCTGTGCATATGTGTGCGTGTGAACTGAAGAACTCCCGAAACAGGCAGAAGGCTTGAGTGTGACAAGGAATACAGCGAGATGCATTATGGTGTCCATCATTGATCGCTTCCTCCCGGGAGTCTTGGCGCCTGCTGCAGGAAACAAAAGGTTAAAATATGATACTCCCCTGTTCTCCCCCTCAGTGTCCCATCAGCACCTCTGTTTACAAATTCACAGCGCATTCTCTTTCACTCAGAGTATCCCGCCACCACATTTCCACAACAGGATCGAAACAATACGAACGTTAAAGGCTCATCATAGAAGCACAGATTCCAAAAAAGAACATTCATTTTTAAGAGTGTTGAGTATTTTCTAAACATGCATAAGGGTTTCTAAAAAGGACAAAGACATGCAGTAAATCCTCATGTCTTTTTGGTCAAGCAAAAGAGTCCGGGTGCACAGAGCTTAAGGGGCTGATCAGGAGTGTATGGCTGTGAAGTGAGTAACAGTGAGAAGCAATGACAGGCTGAGACCCCAAACCCACTGCCTCCTCCCTCTGTAAGCTCGGTCTCTCCTCGCCACAGGGCTGACATTGACATGACACTCCCAAAATAATGATCAACAAACGCTCCTTGCCTGAGCGCAAACGGTCTTCTCCCTTCCTCACAGTGTCAACAGTGATTAACAAAGACCCCGGCATCACTACAGACAGAAACAGCAAACGAAGGTCTGAGGTTGAAGATGTAACACACACAGCATGCATGACCAACTTTCTTACATCAGGCTACGGTGTTCATAGTACTGTTACCGGAGGGACTAAAAGCAAAAATATAGACTATATATTGCTTTATTTTACAAATGTAGGAGAAGTGTGTGGGAAAAGTCATTATCCTCACCCGTATTCATGTCTTCAAATGTCCTACAGACATACCGGGCCACACTTCTGCTGTCTGACTATACAACGTTACCTTTAGGACAAGGAGAAAGAACGATATTATGTCCCTCCACAATTACCAAGCTAAGCGAATATTAAAATGTCTGACTCCATCAGTCGGGGCGATCGTGATTGGTATTTTAACCTTTGACTACAGTACAAAGGAACCAGATCTTGGAACCAATATTGGAAGGACTGAATCTAATTCTGGAATGATCCTTAGTAATGAGGGGGCTGCCGTGGGGGCTGGATAATGCATATATGAGATATTATTTTGGGGCTGAAAGTGTTGGGGCAGAGGGGGCTCTCTGATAGTTGAATAATGGCGTAGCCGGCATGATAGAAACACCTTAGTGTCTTGCCCGAGGACAGCACTCTTAAATCAAACAGGAATGATTTTATCACATGCAAATACCCCTTAGGTTTTTTGTGCATGTGTCGAGGGGCTTTATTTTCAGATTTTCAGTACAGAATTCCTGTTAGTGGACGGTCTGTCATTGAAGAGCTAAAAAAATAATGAAATATTAAAGGTGATGTAAGAATTTCAATGTTAAATACATATAACCTTGATTCCTATGAAAAGGAAATATTGAGCTAACAAAACATTGCACTGTTTGAGCACACCGAACAGGGGTGCGTTTCCCGAAAGCATCGTTAGCCAACTATGGTTGCAAGTTGGTCGCAATTTCCATTCAACTCTATTGGTAATGACGGAACTTGCGACCATTATTGGCTAACGATGCTTTCGGGAAACACCCCAGTCTAATATAACAACATTGGCCTAACCAGTGGAGGAAGTTTTGGGAGGGATTTTCTGTTTGTCCAACCAATGGAAGAAAGAATTATTTTCGCAGTTCCATTCAATGTTCTTGTAGTTGCCTAAAATCAAAACTATTAAAAATAATTTCCATTGAAGGAAATAAATAAATGAAATTGTACAAGATCACAACTTGAAAAACTTAAACAAAAATATTACAAATGTTGCCTTTGCAACTAACTGAATTAAAGTAAGTTTGTTGAACTAAAAGTTGAAGTACTACAATTGAAATAGAGATAAATTAAATTAAAGTTACATATATATATATATATATATATATACACGTGTATATATATATATATATATATATATATATATATACACACACACACACAGACTGACACACACACATATATATTAGGGTTGTCAAATGATTAATCGCGATTAATCGCATCCAAAATAAAAGTTTTTGTTTACATAATATATGTGGTTGCACTGTATATAATTATTTTGACATTATATTTAATTATTTAATTATTATTATTATTATATATAAAATGTTTATATTTATATATAATATAAATTATTAACTATATTTATATATAATATAAATTAACTAATAAACATGACAAAAGCATAAAAAAACCCCACTAAAATATAAAAAAGCTAAATTTTAATAATGGTGATGCCAAGAATGAAAACGCTGACATCATTTACTCACCCTCATGTCATTCCATCATTATATATTAATATTATTTTCATATACCAACTAGTATACGTTTTCTGAAGCGAAATAATCACTTTTTATGTTGAACAGACTGAAATGTACACCTTTACTCCCCCCTTAAACCAATCAAATGATTGCTCAACACAGACCCTAAATCAAATATAGCAACACGTCAATACCACAAAACCTCATGTCATATAACTTATCGTCATGACATAACAAGCATCAACAGAAAGACATGTGAGTTTAAAAATACAAGGATGAGTAATTTATGAGAGAATTTTCATTTTTAAGTGAACTATCCCTTTAAAACTCAAGTCTCCCACGACTGCTGTCCAATTAAACAATTCCGGCTGTGTGAGTGACTGGCGGGGGCAGCGGAGACAGGTCTGGGTCTGTTAAAGCCACACTCGGCTAGTCTACCGTCGCCCAGGACCTTCGCCGACTCCATTCCCGGCCCCTAATCAGTGTGTGAGCGTAATATCAGGCTGGGTTAGGTGTCACCATGTTAGAGGCGTTAATGGAAGAGCTCCATCCACTCAGCCGGGGGGACGGCATTACCGCGGGCTGTCACAGTCGGCTGAGGATTGGGACAGTATTACTGCTGGCTTTCATACAACGTTGGTCACTAAACTAATAGGGGCCCCGGCAGAGGAGCGATGGAGATGAGATGGAGAGGCGTGGGGGAGGAGGAGAGGAAATGAGAAGGCGGAGTGGTAAAAGAGAGGGAGATGGAAAGGAGGAGAGGGTAGTCTAGCACCTTCTCCTAATTTGCAGGCTCTAATGTATAGGAGAGTGGGAAAGCTCTAGATGCTGAGAGATTCAATCTGATGTGATTTAAG